TTAGGGCTCCGCACCTTTATGGGTCCCTGGTGCACCGTAAAGCACGTACCCATGGACCCTAGTTCTTTGACATCTATTTGTGGTCACTGACGGCTGGGACAACTCGTTTCGAGGCTATGGTATTTTAATTATAATAGTTCTGATTGGGAGCACGAGGAAATACTAATACAAAATATTTAAATTGTAATATGATTATGAATAAATTACTTCAGATAAATTATAAAACATATCTCTAGCTTAATATAACATATAACGGCACAGGTAAACAGTAAAAGTAACACAAGTTTTAGTTTAGTCCCCAAAGCAATACCTCCACATTGCATAATTTATAGACCAGATATGAAAACGTCACGTCTTGCGCGAGAAGAATTTAATATATCAAGCTGTAGCGAGCTATAAATATAAAGGACTTTCAGTCCTCACATTGGATATAGGTTTGTTTTTCGACTACTCTAATAAATAAACAGAAGACAATATTCTTTTGGATAAAACACTTTAACGTATTAAAACGCGAAATATATTCGTTGACGGGGCTAGACTTTGACATTAGACCTCGGCAGCTGCAAAGCATCCGAAACGTCCGGTCATATTAAAAATAATTTATAAATAAATTAACCAATATACTTCGCGTTTTAAACGGTAAAAAGTGTTTTATTTAAATGTGTACTGCTCGCTAAACTACAGACAATATCCTTGTATAACTTAAATATAACAATCCTATATGTGTGAAATCCGTTTCCCCTCGTGGGGCAAAGGGTGAACACATTTCTGTGCCCGTTTCACTGATCGGTTTTATTTACAGGCAAGTACTTGATCAGACTTCTGTGCCCTGCCGGACCGAAACATTTTTATTGTTTCCCTCGGATTTGAACCCAGGACCTGTCGGGCTTAACGCAATGCTAGGCAACACGTTTAACCATTTAGCTTCAGAGGCGGTCAAACAACAAAACAATCCTAATCGAACAATAATATAAACAAAAATGTCAAAGCTTGACACAACCAGGTCAGCCGTATAAAAATCTCTATTTTTAACCCTAAACCGCGTACGCACTCAAGAGAAAATAAAAGAAAATCAACCGTATCCGAATATATTATTGTTATGGCGAAATAGTGAAAAAGTACGGCTCTCTTTAGGGAACTGTGGGCCTTCTAGTGTGATTTTTATATGAAAATATCGTTCTGTTTATTTTGCATCGAGATTATTTATAAATACACTGTAGTTAATGGTATAAAACGTTAAATAGATTTATTTTATCATTGAATCAACAATTAACAGTTGAGACGGAAAAAAAAAAAAAAAAAAAAAACAATTTATTATATTTATAGGTTAAATAATCTAGATATAAACTTCGTGTTTAAGATCTCTTAGCTATTTCAAAACACCGAATGACAACTCATACGTGTTGTGTATTTACATATTCCATTCCGACACCCTATAAAACGAATGGATTCTAGCGAAATTTATTGTTTCGCAAGACGCGAATTTTTTCCGAGGGCCGCCGTTCAATATATTGCTAACTTATGCCTCGTATAATCGTGATTTTAATGCGCGACGAGATTTATGTGTATTGTACGGGATTGCTACGAAATTTGATATCTCTATACGGTTTATGGGTGCCTGTTACATAGCTCGTTACGACGCTTATTTATTACGTGTGTGATGTCTTAATTAACTCTTAGGTGTCTTGAGTCTTGCCTCTAAATAAATCTCAAAGACTTTAATCCTTTATCATAAATATAGCCTGTAGTTAAAGCCAGTGGAATAAAACGCTTTTAACGGTATAAAACGCGAAACAAATTGTTAATTCGTTTTAACAACGACCCTGAGAAAAAAGTATAAAATTAATATTTGATTCTAAGTTCTAATTTGCATTGTTAAACTACCTTCATGAAAAGAAAGAATGTCTGTAACTGCATAGTCAAGGCTGAATTCTTTACACCTATGTCCATTCTTCTTCTATAAGTGCGTCCGACTCTTGTCACTTTTTCGTGGCAATATCAAATACATAAGTCGGATTAAAAACTATTTCGTATGACATTGTCTTCGACTTCTTAAGCTCTTCAGTCGTATAGCCGATTTCACTTTTAAATGAAAGCCACAATGAAGCTAATAAGTCGCTTTCTTAAATGCGGCTGTACCGTTAAGGGTGGTCACGATCCGTATTGCGAAATTAAAAATAATTGAGGTACGTCAGCAAAAAGCCCAGTGCCGGCATAAATTTGACAAATCCCGTTAGCCGTTCGGCCCGACTCGCCAAGTTTATCATTTCCCTGTTTTTGTGTACACCGTAATAGGCATCATAAATTTTTGATAATGTTTTTTCGATTTTCGGCGCGGTCTCGCGCGCTGATGAAAAACCGGCGCAAAAACTTGCTCACGAACGGTTTTGTTCAATATTTAATCGCGTCACCGAAATAGGAAAGTTGTTAAAGCACTGACGTTACAAATTTTCGTTTCAATTTGTTTCAAACGAAATGTAGGTATTTCGTCGGCTGTTATTTATAAACTTGAGTTTTTTGTTTTCGATAATGTTCTTTTTTTAAATCTTCTGAGACAGGTGAGGGAAAAAGTGGCCGTCGCCACTTTAGAACTACCCTCCAATTATGTTCTACCAGTGTATTGTCCACTCTCTTTCCATCAGTAAAATCCAATACACGAAGCAACTCTATGCCCTTATCAAAATATTTTGAAGCCGCGTATATCTCTGAAACAAGCCAGTCGCAATCTTCATCGACGCATTAGGCATATAAACATCCGTCCGTGATGCATTAGTGAAATGTTGATTACAATCGATTGAAACAATAAACAGGACCTCCCAGTGAAATTTGTTTGCTTAAAATTCGGTAAACAGATTGATTTAAGACGCGCTGTTAAATTATTCTTTCATTGCTTTGTCATGAATATTGGCCACTTGGGTCTTCTATTGTTTGTAACCTTGCTTTGTTCTTGCATTGTTTTTCTTTAACTTCTAATTATTTTACATAAGAACTCACGAATTATTGCCTCGTTGGGCACTAACTCCTCGGCCCTGAAAGAGTTTTTTTTATGATTAAGGAGACAGGCATGGTGTTTACTTCGAAACGAGATGTCCTGTCGACCTATTTTGGGTTTGGAATATTTTTAACTTTACGGCTTTTTCATCTGAACACGGTGGTTTGCGACCCGGACAGAATTTCGATATTCCTACCGCCTATTTATTATCCAGATATCCAGTCAAAGTCCAACTGTATTTCGGAAAAAATATAAATTAATGAGAAACATATTGGACCCGGTGGGGACTGAATACACGACCCGTTGATTAGTCATGCACTGTTGCCAGTACGCCAACGTGCCCGTCAAACATCCTTTGAACAGTAAATTTTTAAGTGTCACTTTATAGTCTATTTTAAACATCGCATTACGGGCGACGCGACGTAAAATCGCAAACGTAATTCGCCCCATAACACTCCCCTTGAAAATGGGATTGGGAAGATCTTTTTACATGTAATTTTCACTATGAATACATTATGTGAAATACGCTTTTATTTTTATTAGTTGCTTTATGGCGAATTGGCTTTTTCAGACACGCGCGAATGGCTTGTAAGACGTATAATTGATATCGTAAAATGTTTATTATTTATAAATATAAAGAACGAGAACCATTGTAACGCCCCCCTTTGTATAAATGTTAAAAGTGAGGACTCTAACTTGCGAAAGACGTTTTGAGACTCTTATAATGTATGTCTCGAGATTCACTTTCATAGTAATTAAAGAAGAAAACGTTGGTACGACTTAAAAAATTAACTTAATACCTATTTTTCTATAACTACAGATATTCAACAGTAATATTATGTTACTTACATTGCAACTAGTAATATATTTTGATTAAACGTGTATCTTATTGTTATATATTTTGAACTCGTACTCAAGTCGTAGTTTACATATCCTTGAAAATAAATACAATTTTCCGGGCACAGTAAATCATAATAAAGCCGTGTGCACACTCGGACAATGGTGCGTTATGCGTCGGCTACACGACTGTAAGTGACGTATCAATTTCTCTCAGAAACCGATGTGTACAGGGCCGTACTTAACATTAAATGTGTTTCTGTGAATCTGTCATCTCCGGCCGTGCGCGTGATTTTATATGTATTTAATTTTATGAATATATTTACAAATTTACAAATATATTCAAGACAGTATATACAATGGAACTATAAACTTACATCATCAAAGAAGCTGTGCAAAACCAATATACTTTCGATTATTGTTCGAAAGTAATCATTAAATGGGCTGTAGTTTTGCACCCATCTAATTTCATTAAAAATGGGGTTCTATAACGAAAAAGAACGATGAGTACGTCCCTGTCGATATCAGTGAAATCTCGTATTTTTTATATTTTATTGTTGAAACACGTTCGTTCGTGATTTTACGAAAGGCTGATGTACCGCGAGTGTTAACTTGTTGTATGAATAATATTGAGAAGTTATGACGATGACATTTTCAAAGATAACTCACAAAAACAAGCTTCGTAATATGTGAAAGTAGATACTTTCGCTTTTCGCTTTAATAGTTAATACCTACTTATTTTAATAATAAACGAACCACGTACCAATTTGTCGCGTCCTTACGAAGATTACAAAAGGACTTTTGCAGCACAAAGCTACCGAAAACTCACGTAACACGTTTCAACCGACCTGGGAATCGAACCTGTTAATAATTTACACATCCTACCTGCGGTACACCAGGATGACATGAAATAGGAGAGGAGTTCCCCAGGGACCGCCCTCACGCCAGAAACCAATATCATTAGGTGCACTTGAGCTGTTCCTCTGATATTTTTGTGTTATTTATGTTTTGTTTCAGTTAATTTTTGACGAGTTTTTTTTATAAATATAACGTGATAGATAGAGAGTTATATGTTTAATTTTATTCGATAAGGATATTAATTAAAATTCAATTTAGAATATATTGACTATGTTAAATTCAGTTAGTAACATAATCGTTTTTCTTGTTACAGCATCCGTACCCTTCGGAGGACCAGAAAAAGCAGTTAGCACAGGATACAGGGTTAACGATACTACAAGTCAATAATTGGTAAGTTTTTTTTATATACAGTCAAATTATGTTACCAAATAAAATTAATATAAAATATATGAAAATAAAGAGTGGTTAAAGTTTGGCCTCAAAATAATCCTTTGAAAACCAAATTATTTATAAAGTTCTTATTATTCTCAGATAGATTGGGCACATTCCCTTGTTCAAATAGAAAATTAGTTCAATAGTAAATAGTAAAAAATCTTGTTGTACTTTGACAAATTCTCCGGCTCGATTTGAGAAATAGTTAAAATTATCCGTTCGAGTATTTAAGAACTCAGAATTTCCTTCCCATTCATAAAACTATCTAAAAACCTTCTTTTACCATTGACTATGTGATGTATGCTCTACATATGAATGAAGAATATTAGATAATGGAATTGCAAAATTTCTATCCGATTTATATATTTGGACTAGAAAATTCACCATATTTCTGGTTTCTAAAAAGTTAGGGTGGCTGTCCATTCGCCTTCGGCGAGATCACATTTCTTCAGTCTATATCTATTCTCTTCCCCCAAATTTCCCCTATTTAAATCTAATTTTAAATATTTGGGTCCCTATGGTAGTTATAGTTTACATATCGGAGTATATTCTTGAGGTTCCTTTACAGTCCAATTTCCAATAAATCCTTTCAAATTATGATAGACTATGGAACTTACCTTCCATACCATGGCTCCTTCTCTCCCATCATTTAAACGGCTGCTTTATAAACATTTCTTCATCTGAGTAAAGTCACTATCTATTTATTTTAAATATATTTAGTCCCTTCGTTTAAGTTAGTAAACATGTAACCTTTTTAGATCTGTATGTTTTTATTTTAAGTTCTGTGTTTTTTTTTTGTTTATGATTATTTATTGTTTGTATTAATTTGTTTCGCCTACCTTAATTAATTTCTTAAATTTCATAACTTAAGTTGCTGGAAGAGATCCTTGTTAGATAAGGCCCCATTTCTCATTCTAGTATATAGGTTTAATTGTAATATTTTTATTTTTTGTGCAATAAAGAATAAATAAATAAATAATAAATTTATTTGCTCTAAGTAAGCACGTAAGACTAATAATATCGGTCGGGCAGGGCACAGAAGTCCCATCAACTACTTATACTTATTGATATACATACATACGCCATAGAGAGTAGATCAGACACAGAATATAGAAAATCCATATTATATTCTGTAGGCTTCAATTCAAACGTACTTAGTTACTATACGATTAACGTCATGTTAGTTATATTTCGCAATGCACCATAGACACCTACGGACAGACATTTTTAGTATTATTAAAAGCCAGTCCTCTCTGCATTTCTGAACATCTCTGTAATGCGACACCTTTATCTTTATTTTGCATCTATGGTGTCTTCACACGGGTTGCGTTTCAACCGCTTCGCAGTTTAAGTGGCTTAGCTTATTTAATCTTACTTTAAATATAAATTTAAAACTGGTAAGTTTGAAGACCTCAGGTCTCTATAATTTTATAGATAATTTCTTTATTTTTATTACTATTTCGATCGACTATTTGAAGTTGGTTGTAACTTTTCTCTACGGTAGATATATATAAATTTTGGTAAATATTATATTGAAATCAGTTTAATTGGATTGAAATAAAATAAAGTACTAAGGCTCAAGTGAATGACTGTAAATGCTATAGATTTGCCGTCACTGGTACCGACCAGACCTAACCCCTAGCGAGACTCGATGCAAAACATAAAGTACTAATTTTACGACATCTGCCTCCCACTTCCCCGCATACTTTAAAATTATCTGACTCTACTTAAATATTGTATTGGAATGTAAATTTACAGTAAAAATATTGAACTTTCAGTCATGTTTACTTACCCACGAGAGTTTGATTAATCACTTTAAGATAATTTTAGTTTCCTTGGTGAAACACCAAAATAGTAATTTTTTTTTTACATTTTAATCTCTGGAAAAGGAAACTTCATAAGCAAACCGACATCTCCTAGGACGAGTGACGAGTCATCATAAAACATGTATTTGGTTACTCTTAAGAGGTCTTAATCTCACTTGTGGGACTTTTACAATAATCATTTAAAGGCACTGTATAATATAAGTATTTTTTATTTAAAACTATACAAGCCGTCTAAACTGCAGTTGCACTGTATCTACTATCTACTATTACCAATATGCAAAATAATATCGAGCTTTCGTTAAAAGATTAGAATTTATCGACACAGATACTCCGAAGGTTGGCTACTTCAAAGGTAAATAAATACACTCGGATAAGGATATTGTGACTCATTTCTAAGAAATAAGTAATTTGCACTCGTGGGCGTGATCAGGCCGGCCATAAAACGTACGACAAATTGACCATTCGTGCTGTCGAGGATTCCACATTTCGCAACGATTTATTTGTAAATACATCCACTTAATAAATAACTACGTATGGGTGGTCAATATGGGAATAACCGTGACATACTCAACAGATACACAATTGCATATTACTTACCGCGTATAACGAGTTGAGTTTAATGTATTTATTGTGCGATATTTGTGTGTCTATATAGTTATTTTTTAAATACAACATACTTACAGAAAACAGACATAACTAAAAGGAACGTTCTCCTCTTGTCGAAGTTAACGGCTTTTCGTACTGGCCACTTTGATTCCTAATTGATCAAAAGTTCTAAATTTAAATTTTTAAGCTTGATTTTATATTTTCTTCTGTGTTTTCTCGTCTATACAATGTTGTTACTCTATCAAAACTCAAACTAACAAAATAAAACAAATTCAGTTTTCCGTCATATCACAATATTGATATTAAGTTAAATCACATCATTATAAAGCAATAAATAAACCGTGGGAATCAGAAACTCGAGATTATTATGATTGGTAATCGCTTGTTATAAAATAAACATCACAATTTTATAACAAACACTCGAATGTATGTCTAATGAACCATAACCTAGTTTGAGAGGTTGTTAACTTTATAATTGTTTTGATATAAATGTATAAAAACGATTTAAAGCCGTTATGGAGTTATAAATCTGTTTTCTTAAAAAATTTAGTTATGTATCCTAAGTTTTAGTCTTAAATAATAAATCTTATGCTATATCAATATAGCTAAATAATTTAAAATATAAAGAGGTTTTACTTTATTAAAAACGTGATCGGTATACCCGTGGGCCGTGACTCGAATGACCCATACTTCGGAGAATGAATTTGTATGAAGTCAGAGGTCAGCTATTGTCTAGCTCTTTTTCACCTATGATCCCCTGGTCGATACGCTAATTATTGCTGGGATATGGAAATAATTAGATTTCTTATGAGATGAGGATAAAAATTAGAATGCAATTCTTTTGATTTTTTTCTTTTCATTTAAAATATTTTATAACGTATTTATTAAAAGCAAAGCGGTTTTGTAGATTTTTCTTATTTTTCATATTTTATGGCCTGGTAACGGGGCCTTCGAGCCAAGCCTTATTTTCACTTCACACCATTCTTCTCATATATCTTCTTTATTTTCATAGACAATGTTTTTTTATTAAAAGAAAACAAAAAAATATGACGAGCGAAATGTCAGCATTGTTTTCACAGATTATATATATATATACAATCAGTGTTACCCGAGTAAAACCACAAATTATACATTTACAAGTTACCTTTTTATAGGTATTACGAACGATGCTGATTTCCCACTAGAATTAAAAAAGGCACTATTGCTAAAATTAAAGCACTACTTTAAAATTCCACGGTCTAGATAGCAAATACAATTTATATCCGTAAACAATACCAAACAAAACAGTCTCGGAAGGAAGCTCCCTTGAGGTATGAATGAAAAATAAAATTTGAAATTCAAATCCGTACGCCTTATCAATTACATATACCAGGCGCGCAACAATACGGAAGAGCTCTTCGTTCTTCCAATTTACATCTTCATACAATACCAATTAGGGACTCGCCAGTTAATTCGACAAGGTCCCAATGGCGGTTTCAATTCGGATGGGATGTAGTAATGTGATTATGGGGCATTTGCATCTATTTTATGTCCTCTTGGTGTCACTAGTCGGGCTATTTGAATAATTCTCTTGTTTTATTTTAATGAATGAACCGCTCGGAGTACCGATGCTTTTCTATTTGGTGTCCCGAAGGTGTCATCTAGTTTAGATTTAAATAAAACCTCGCGAAACTAATTCACACTCTTCGACATGAACTAGTTCTGTGGTTTTACAGTGTTTACCTTACCTTACGTTGAAAATCGTACTCTCCAAATTAAAAATCGGTTATGAATTGCAAAAAATTACGACTCGGGCAGGACTTTTCAATCATACTCTCTTTTATATACTTAAGTACAGTATCTACTTGTTACTGTACTCTTACTGAATATTCCTATAAGGATATAATAAATATTTGCCTACATCGACCCTTGAAAATTGGTACAGCATTCAGAAATAATACGCGAACAGTACCTAGTTAAGCTTTCATTTTTTCAACGTCGACATTTTCTTCTCTAAAATACATCTAGAGCAGTAATATCTTACATGTGCTTTATGTATTAAATATATAAAGTTTTAATTAAAGAATTTGTTCGTTTGAACGCGCTAATATCAGGAACTACTGGATCGATTTGAAAAAATATTTTTGTGTTGGTTGGAGTACTTATCGAGGAAGGCTACAAACAGCTTAAATTTATAAAGATGAGGAGGTTTGCAAAAATAAATTTAGATACCCAACATCATTTTTCTACGCAGACGAAGTCGCTGAAACAACTAGTATGCTATATGTATTATGCAGGATGAGAAATTTATATGTAAATAACTGTACAGGCTAATTCTATAATCATTCAAATTCAGTCCAGACGATGTATGTGGACATGTAAGCTGATATAGCAGGTTTAGGGCAGCCTAGCCTCCGTACTTGGGATTAGTGGATTAGGGGATCGTGCGGGATTAGCTGCTCAATAGATTGTGAATGGCTCAGCTTATAACTGGAGTATAGTGTTAATTTGTAGCTTGTAATTAGGCGTTTTGTTTACGTCTTTCAG